TGCAGTGGCCTCTGCAGGAGGGGCAGTGGGATTCTCTGGAGGACATCAGCCTAGAAAGCTGCATGGGCCAGGTAGGACCCAAGTTCAGTATTGCCCAGCACTTGGAGGCACAGAGCACCAACAGCCAACCATGGCGAGGAAGGGAAGTTAGTGTTGGACAGAGGAACTGAATGCACGCACAGGGCCTCAGGGCCAGGCTAACACTGGGCTCTATGCACCAGGAGTGCATGTGCCCACCCAACACCCATCCCCTCCCCTCTTCGTGTCGTGTCAGAATCCCTGTAAAGGGGGCAGATGGGCAGTGCCAGGGAACCAGTTAAGGGGGTCCTAACACCCCTGGTCAGGGAAGGCAGGTCCTTCAACTCCCTGACTCATATCTATCCCAGGGAGAAGACAGAGGCCTTGAACAGCCCGGCCTGGTCAAATACATATCCAATAAATGTCTGACTTGAAGGGCCAGCTATGGGTCTGACCAGCCCTCATTACTACACATTACAGAATAGCCTAATAGGTTATTTCACAGTGTTGCTGCTTTTGTAAAACATGATGGAGACTCTTGGGGCTGGAGAGATGGCTCAGCGGTTAAGAACACTGGCTGTTCTTGCAGAAGACCTGGGTTCAAATCCCAGCACCCACATGGAAGCTAACAACTGTCCGTAACTTCAGTTCCAGGGGATCCAACAGCCTCTTCTGTCCTCTGCAGGCATTGCACGACATGGGTGCACTTACCTACATGCAGGCATAACACTCATACACATAAAATAAAAATAATAAATAAAGTATTTTTTTTAAGTGATGGAGATTCTCTTTTAGTTGTTATTAAGACAGAATCTTATGTAGTCTTGACCAGACTGGAACTTGTAGACCAGGCTGGCCTTGAACTCCAGACAATCCTGTATCTACCTCTGGAGTACTGACTGGGAGACTCTTTATAAAAGAACAGTCAAGGGCTGGGTGTGGTGGCTTACACCTTTAATCCCAGCACTCGGGAGGCAGAGGCAGGCAGATCTCTGTGAGTTTGAGGCCCCTGATCTACTCACAAAAGTGAGGCCCTGTCTCAAAAAACAAATCAAAAAAAAAAAAAAAAAAAAAAAAAAAAAAAAAAAAAAGAGAAGAGTCAAGGAAGCAGAGAGGTGATAGTTCAGTGGTTAAGAGTATGTACTGCTCTTACAGACCTGAACTCAGTTATCAGTTCCCAGCATCCACATCAGGTGTCTCACAACTGCTTGCAACTCAAGTTTCAGGAGACCTGGTCTCTTTTGACCTCTGCTGGCATCTCTCTCTCTCTCTCTCTCTCTCTCTCTCTCTCTCTCTCTCTCTGGTTAGGCAGCTTGGCACCCTGTGGGCTCTTCCCTCCCAGCACATCAGGGATGTGTTCATGTCTCTAATACCCGAAGCACTCTGTCTTTTGCTTAACTCTCTGAGCCATGGCTGATGATTTTTGAGACTGTCTTTATAGGAATCTTGGCCCTGTTAACTTCAAGGGAAGTCAGAGGTAAGGCTCAGGGTTAGGCCAAAGCCCAGCTGTGTGTGCTGGCTCAGGGAGCTAATCAGGCCAAATTCTGGCCATGTTGCTGGGTAACCACAGGCTGAGACCTGGGGCTGAAATCTCTCCTGGGGAGGAAGAGGGAGTGGCTCTCGGGAAGAGGCTCTGGGGCAACAGATTAGAGACCCCCATGGTTACATGTGTGTTTGTCTTCTATACTTAGGGGTTTGGTCTTGGTGAACCTGATAGGGAGCTGGTTCTTGAGGTTCTGGCACAACACAAGGAGACTAGGAGGGACAGGGAGCCCTTTACCTCTCTTTAAGCCCTTACCCCAAGAAGAAGCCAAGATATGGCACCTCCAATTTGGGAGCCAAAACTAATGTGGCCCATGGAATATGGCCCTGTATGCTGGATAGAGAAGAGGGGACATATGGTATCCAAAGCAAAGGATCAGAAGTTAGAAGCAGGGGCTGGAGAGATGGCTCAGAGGTTAAGAACACTTATTCCTCTTCTGGAGGACCTGGGTTTGGCTCCCAGCACCCATATAGTGGCTAACGCCCATCCTTAACTCCAGTTCCAGGGCATCCAATGGCCACTTCTGGCCTCCATGGATACCAGGCATGGATGGGGTGCACATACACACATGCAGGCAAAACACTCATAAAAGTAAATAAAATATTCAAAAAAGAAGTTAGAAGCAGAGTCTGTCAGCTGCTCCCCAGGATACCCTCTGGCTTGGAGGGATAGGCTTTTGGGGGCAGGATTTGGGATGCAGCAAACTGGCAAAGCTGGGTGGCTGACCTTACCTGCTTGAGTCAAAGTTTCACTGTGAGAGATCTCATTGTAAATTGTTTCTCTGTGTCCCCTGATGCCCCACTTTCCCTCTCTCAGATCAGCTGTCCCTTCCTCTCCCAGCTCCTGAGTGAATATCCTGTGGCATAGCTAACCCAAGGTCCACTCCTAAACACTTGTACACACAATAGACTCAGTGAATTATATATCTGTATAACCATATATATCTATATACATACAAATATATGTAACAATAATAAAGAAGAGAACAAGAAATTAAGAGGTGAGGGCAGACATGGGAGGAGTTGGAGAAGGGACTGGGAGGGGTGGAATTGATGCAAATCAATACTCAAGTACGAAATTCTCAAAAATATATTTAAGCCAGGCGCGGTGGCGCACACCTTTAGTCCCAGCACTTGGGAGGCAGGCGGATCTCTGTGAGTTCAAGGTCTACATAGTGAGTTCCAGGACAGCTAGGGCTACAGGGAGACCCTGTCTCAAAAAGACCAAATATATATATATATAATTTTTTTTTAAAGGAAAAGAAGAAAATTGATCAGCAGCAGCCCTACCAGACCTGCTTCCGCCTCCCCAACATGGCTGCTGGCTGTCCTCACTCACAGTCTGCTGGAACCATAGGTTTCTGGGATATCCTCCACAGCTTCTCTTTCACCAGGCAGAGGGACCCTGGCTCTGGCTATGAGTGCTGAGTGGACACTGGGTCCCATGGAAACATCTTCAGTGCCCGCCATATCAGCAACAACCACTCAGGGTAGATATTTGTTACTGTCCCTTCCCTGAAGAACACATATGGGTAGGAGGCGGCCACTGGTGGCCTCATTCTGTGGCCTGTGGACCCCTTACAAGCTGTGCCTTGGTAACAATGAAAACTGAGGCAGCATTGCTGTCATCTTGGAGTTATCCTGGCTCTGGGTGTGGGCCTGTTCCACCCAATAAAAACCTCCTACCCTGAGCTCTCCTTCACACTCACCAGTTTGTACTTCACTGTCGTCCCCACCTTCCCATCACTGTTCCTGTGCTGGGCTCTGCCTCTCTAGCCTGTATGCTCCTGGGAAGGAGCTGGCTACCCTGATGTATCAGCTGGCCATGGAACAAGCACTCTGTTGGACCCTTGGAAAAGGCAAAAGTCTCTGAGGACAGGGAACTTTGTTTCTAATCTTGCTCTGAGCCCTTGGGTATGCCATGAGGTCTCTCTGAACCTCAGTTTCCTCTGTGTAGCAGAGAGCAGCAGTCATAGAGCCTGTGTGGGAAGGTTGGGAATGCAATGCTATCAGCAGATGGAGTACACAATGATTTTACAAGGAAGAGATCTGGGGGGAAGTTTAGCTACCTCTCCTCGCACGTGGACAGAGAGTGATTATATAAAGTGGTGAAGTGTGATTGCATTCACACAGACACGAACAATCTCAACCTTACAAAATGCAATCGTATTTTACTAAAAAATAAATAAATAAATAAAAGAATAAAATGACACAGCTAAATAGAACTCAAGCAGGATCTCTGGATGCCGGCACAGAGCGGATAAGGAGATAATGTACCAAAGAAGAATTTACATGCAGGGCGAGCAAATACAGGCTTGAGTTTGGTGCAGGCTGATATCAAGAAGACAAGCCCCAAATTAAACAAATGTGAATGAATGCCTCTGCCTGCAGACAGAATGCATCCATCAGTATAAGTGGGTAGAGAGCAAGCAGCAAAATGCCACAAATCAGAGTGAGTGCAGGGAGTCAGGACTGCAGCAAACAAATATTTCAGCAATGTGGACGCTATGCACGTGGCCAAAGAATAACTTTGACAGAGCTCCAATGTCATGCTCAAGGCTGAAGGAGAAACCACATTTTCCTGAGTATCCTTCCAGAGGGAGCACCAGGACTGGGGATGTAGAGTGTTTGCTTTGCATGCATCAGGGACTGGGTTCAATCCCTAGTACCACATAAACTGGACATGACACAAGTCTGTATTCCTAGCACTTGGGAAGTGGAGGCAGCAGGATCAGAAAGAAGTTCAAGGTCACCCCCAGCCCTTAACTTATATAAGCTTCCAGGCCTGGTACATGAAATCGTGCTACAGGGAGACCCTGTAAAAAAAAAAAAAAAAAAAAAAAAAAAAAAAAAAAAAAAGAAGGAGGAGGAGGAGGAGGAACTAGGAGTGGTCTAAAAGGGCTGTCTGCCTGCACAAAAGGGGTTTGCATGTATCCTGAGATAGCTGAGCTGGAAACACCATGTCCCTCTGTTCAGGAGCCCTTGGTACTGGTGATCAGGCCAACTTCTGGGATGCCCAGCAGCTGCATCTCCATCATGTACTGGAGTCTGGTGCTTAGATGCTGTTCCGTCTTGATCTGCAGGACAGAAGCTTATTCTCCTGTCCTCCACACTCTCCACCCAGCCATCCTCCTCCAGGAGCTTCCTTCCCACTTCCCACCTTTCAGAATGGACCAGCTGCTGGCACAGCAGGGAGCCAACTGCCCAGGACTCCCAGCAGAGGGAAGATTCAGCTTCTTAGAGTTTATGGAGTGGCTGGGAAGCTCAGGCTCAGTCATTTTATTTGTTGATGTGTTCAGCTGGTGTGCTCTGGTTGTGAACAGCCTTGAAACAAACACTGTAACCTTGATACACACACACACACACACACACACACACGTATACACACCAGTTTTGCTGAGATCCAATTCACATAACTTATAATTCATCCATTTTAAAGACACAAATGAACAACTTTTATTATACAATTGGCTCTCTGTATTCTGGTTTCTGGATCTGTGGATTCAACCAACCAAAGAGCAAATATATCTGAAAAAAAATTGCGTATGTACTGAACATGAAAAGACTTTTCTTATCATCATTCCCTAAACAATACAGTATAATAGCTATTACACGGCATTTACACTGAATGAGGTACTATAATCATTGAAAAGTGCCTTAAAGTACACGGAAGGATGCACATAGGTTATATGCAAATTCTATGACATTTCAAATAAAGGATTTGAGCATCCATCAATTCTGGTATCCATGGAGGGTCTGGCACCAATCCCCTGAGGCTACTGAGGGATGACTGTACCACAAGGTTGAGTAAAAGTCATTGCTGTCTAGTCCCAGAACATTTTCATACATAAAGAAACCCCAGACCCATCAGCTATCACTCCCATTCCTCCCATGCCCCCATTTCCATACAATCGCCAATCAACTCTATGGTTTTGTCCATGAGATTTCTATTCCTATGGTTTGGCCTGTTCTGAATCTCTGAATTCTATATATACTTCATATATATGGAATCATACAACATATGGTGTTCTGCGTCTGGCTTCTTTCATCAAGTCTAATTCTTGCTTTAAATAGATTTTTACTATGTAGCCTAGTCTAAAAACTTGAAGTCCTTTTGCCTCAGTCTCAGAAAGTGCTTGGGATTAGAGGTAGGTACTACCATGCCTAGAATAATAAAGAATTATATGCCATAGAATGGATAAACTTTAGAACTATTATGCTGACAGGAACCATAGTGAGACCCTATCTCAACGAACAAAAACTTCCATCAGAAAAAAAATCCCTTTCACTCCTTTTTCATGATTGAACCATAGTCATTTGAATGAATGGACTGCATTTTACTTACCTTTCCATTTTTCAATGATATTTGGGTTGTTTCCACCTCTTGGCTCTTGTGAGTACTGCTGTTGTGAAACAGAAACAAGATCTATTGTCCCCACAGCAGTTTGCACTGGGCTGGCAAGAGGGGATGGCAACTGTTCCCATAAAGGTAGCTGTCAGGAGAGACTAAAGTTAAATTGTTTCTTCATCAAGGTGTCCAGGGTGCGAAGTGATCTACTAGATTTGAGTTCCCAAGTACAGCTGTTGCTCAGCATCTGTGGGTACTAAAATCCATGGCTGCTCAAGTTCCTCCGTACAATGGTGTGGTGTTTGCATATAAGCCAAGCATAATTTCTCATGTACTTTACCTCACCGTGTAAGCTTATTCTCCATGTAAGCATGAGGGAAATGGTTGCCAAATTGTATTGTTTAGGGAATAAAAAGACAAGAACAAGTCTGTACATGTTTGGTACAGTTGCAGTTTTTTTCCTGAATATATTTAATCCTTGGTACAAGGCCAGGTACAAGGCAGAGATGTTTGTGCATGAAAAAAAAACCACAGTCTGAGGGGCTGGGAATGCAGCTCACTTAGGCAGAGTACTAACCTAGCATGTACAAAGCCCTGGGTTTGATCCCCAGCACCACATTAACTGGGCATGGTGTTGCACGTCTGTAATCCTAGCAGTGAGGAAGTGGACCAGAAGCTTGAGGCAGCCTGGGATATATGAAACCTATCTTAAAAAACAACAAGAAAAAAAAAAAAAGAAAAACAAGCAAAACAAAACAAAAAACAACAGCAACAGACCTGGAATTTTGAAACTGTGCCCATGACTAATGGACAGTTTGCCAAACTTTAGCTCACCCCAGAAAATCAATGCAGCAACTTTTCCAAATCAAACAGCCAGAACATGCTGGTCAGTGCTGGGTCTGTTAGGCTCAAGTTGACCAGATATGGTTGGAGCTTTGATGAAGCAACTTTGCCCATCTTGCTTGTAATACATGGCTTGGTCTCCTTCTTTTTGCCATAAGTATGTGTGATAAAGATGCCTATCAGTCTTCTCCATAATGATCAGTGAGGGGTGGCATAGCTGAAGGGCTAGGACCTCTCTCTCCCTAACCTTCATAAGAGTGCATCAGAGTGAGGTTCCTGTAGGACCAGGGAGACCAACAGGATCATCTGGAAAATGGGCTGCACACAACCGTGGCTCCTCCTGCTGGGAGCATGTCCCCAAATCAGTTGGTGTGTACCTGCCGAAGGCACTGTTTCTTCTGATACACGTGATTTGGGTGACCTAAGCTTGGATTTAGGAACCCGAGGTCCCATTCTGGTCAGCGGGTGCAGAAGCTCCAGATGCAGCCCAGTTCTCTTGGCATAGCTCCTAGAGTGCACATGACATCAAAGGGATTCCTGGGTACAAAGTAGGAACAAAGCTATTTGGAAGCCAGAGGGTCCTAGCCCTATCTATGCATGTAGGTCTCAATTATCTAACTCAGTCACTTGGTCTTCTGGTGCTGGGTGAGGGCCTGGTGAGATCCAGTGTTACTTAGATGCTAGGGTAGGGCCTAGAGGACGAGTCACTAGCCAGAGCCTGTGATAAGATAATCTACATCAGTTCTGTCTTGCCTTCTCTCAATAAAGACTCATTAAGGTGTCAGTGAGTGTAGCTGGGATGTAACTGTCACCAGCAAATGCAAGAGAAGAGGTCCCAGGCTGCTGTGGGGATCAGGGAAGGCCTCCAGGGAGGTGACCAACAACTTGAGCCTGAGGAGGAGGAGAGAGGAGACAGGGTAAGTGTGGACTAGAGCCTGGAGGAGGAGAAGGATGGATGGACAGTCATGATGAGGTTTCCAAGGCTAGCCTGCTCTCTATAAATCAAGTTTCTGAGCTGCACTCCTGACCTCATCTCTGAACTTTGATCCCCCTGCTACACTCTACCTTTTTCATTTCTGTTCTGTTGGGGGCGTGGGGAGGGGTAGAGACACAAAACCTGTGGCCTCACTTAGAAAGCTGCCCTCAACCAAGACGGGTGAGTATTGTGCTTTCCAGGGGCATCTGGCAATATTAGAGATCTCTTAGGCTGTGTGTGTGTGTGTGTGTGTGTGTATGTGTGTGTAATTGTCATCTGAAGCCAGAGATGGTGATGAACGTTCTGCCATGTACACAACAGTCCCCACCACAAAGAACTATGCAGCTCCAAACATCCACAGTCTAGAACAGAATGGAGAGTCCAAGCCCCCAGGAGTTTTCTGCCAAGGTGTAGGGAAGGCAGGGTCAAGCCTGTAGGGATTAAGACTAGGTTGCCACCCATAATCAAACCCAGTCCCTGTGTGTAGGAATGTCAGAGGGGACATGAGGAGTGCTATGGTGGGGGTAGTCAGGGTTCCTAAGGAAGGTGACATCTGCTGGGGCCCACAGTCAGTCCCAGGCAATGTGGGGGTAGTCAGGGTTCCTAAGGAAGGTGACATCTGCTGGGGCCCACAGTCAGTCCCAGGCAAATGTGGAGACGGAGGGAAGGGGGGAACCATGGGAGCCTGGGGCTCTTGCTTGACCCAGGACAGGAGGTAGGCCTAGAGGATGGAGGAGGTTTGGGGGGTGGGGGTGGGGACAAGCATTTAACAGGCCTCTTACCTGCACCCCCACTTTAGGCAGGGGTGGAGTGATGGGGGAAGAACAGCTTGCCAAATGCCCCTTTAAGCCAGAGGAAGAACAGGACCACATTCCGGGGCAGGATTCTAGCTGGCCTGGTGGTAGCTGTGAGACTCGGTAACGAGGGTCAGGGTATGCAAGGGTGCAATGGCGCTGACCGAGTCGGACCGACTTGGTCAATTTTGGGGATTGGGAAAATCCAGAAGCTAACCAGCCCAGGTTCCAAGGGGTTGGATCTTTTGCAGGGAAGGCCGAGCTGGGGGTAAGCTAACAAGGAGCCGGGTCTCCAGCAGCAGTGGAGTAGTGACTGCCAGCTAGAGAGAGGAGCGCTGGGCACCTCCCGGTGGGTGTGACCAGCCGCCGAACGCACGCGACGCCAGGGTGCACCGAGAGGTCTCCTGCCGAGAGGCACCGGCCTAGAGGTCAACTCCCGCTCTTAAAATGGGGATGGGCTAGGGGCGGAGCTTCTGGGGTGGTGGGTGGGACCCAGGGAATGGGCGTGTCCTCTGGGAGTGGCAGGCCGCGAGTATTTAAGCGGCCCCTTGGCTGATAGTGGCCCCGCCATGGCTTGGAAGCGCGTCTTCCTGCTGCACCGGGTGGCCCAACGCTTCGCCGCCTTCTCCAAGGCGCCGGGGGCCCGAGAGCAGACCACCGCGAGCCCGGGAACCGCGCAGGGATGCGGAGCAGCGGAGGCTGTGCGGCCGCCGGTGCCGGCCGTGGACTTCGGCAACACGCAGGAGGCGTACCGCAGCCGGCGGAGCTGGGAGCTGGCGCGCAACCTGTTGGTGCTGCGCCTGTGTGCGTCGCCGGTGCTGCTGGCTCACCATGAGCAGGTGCGCGGGTGGATGGGTGGCCAGGTGGACAGGTGCGGCGCTGGGACTTCAGCCAGGCCAGGAGGAGGTAATGGAGTCTGGAAGTAAAGTAGGACCACTCAGGCGTGGCCTGCAGCTGGGCGGGCCGGGAAGGGAGGCGTTTCCTGCATGCTCTTTCGGACCTCGCGAAGTTTCCTACTTAAAATTACTACCAACTGGAAACAAAGGCTGATAGTGTTTAAGATATGTACCATTTACAGGGGTTTAAAGTCGAGTATCCTTCATGTGGCTTCAAGTCAGGCTAACACTCTAGGATTCCACAAGCTGTGGCCCAGTACTCCCAAACACAGCTACTCTGAACGGTTTTGGGGAAAATGAGAAGACCACCAAACACCCAACTTTATTTTTTCTTAAGTGTTTGAATTTATTTTAAATAAGAATAAAGAGCCTAGATTCAGAAGCACACAGATACAAAGCTAAGACAGAGCTGGTCAAATATTTAGTGACCATTGAAGTAATTCTCTCTGGGGCCACAACTGCCACTCCTATCTTTATTTATTTTTGGCAGGATCAATTGTAGCTCAGGCTGGCCTCAAACTCATTATGTTGCTGGGGATGACTTTGAAATCCTGATCCTCCTGCATCCACCTCCCAAGTGCTAGGCTTATAGGTCTGAGGGCAGTTATATCACCCGTGGTCCAGAGAACCCCGTAACCCTGGTGTTCCTGCTGCCAGCACCAGTTGTGGATTGCAGTATAGAAGTTGGGTATTCTAGGAGGCTAGCAAGCATGCAACTTTAAACTGTAACATGGTCACTTTAAGAAATGTGAGGGAAGCTGGGCATGGTGGTGCATGCCTTTAATCCCAGCACCAGCCTGGTCTACATAGCGAGTTCCAGGCCAGTTGGCTGATGTACTGGGGAAGAGCACACCTAGGGCTTTTATATCGCTCTGCCTAAAACTGCCATCAGAGGTACTGATGGAAGATGTAAGGCTGGAAACATCATTCAGTCTCCACCATGGAGAGGCTTTGTGGGGCAGTGGTCATAAAACTAGAACTGCACATGCCTTTAGTCTCAGCACTTGGGAGGCAAAGACAGGCAGATCTCTGTGAGTTCAAGGTCAGCCTGGTCTACATCGTGAGTTCTGGGACAGCTGGGACTACAGAGAGAACCTGTCTCTTGAAAAAAAAAAAAAAAAAAAAGAAAGAAAGAAATGTGAGGGCCTTGGAGAAGTAGAAAGCAGAGCACGGGCTTCACCGGTGTGGAAGAGTTAAGAGATGACAGTTATCTCAAGGTGACCTGGGGACAGTATATAAGGATCTAGTTGTTGGCCTCAAGGATCTGGGAGATTTATCAAAGGTGGGTGGTGACTTCTCAGGTGAGCCTGCGGAGAAACTGGAGCCATACTCAAGAGTTCTGGTGAAGCCACAACAGATAGGAGGCTCATACCCATGTAGAGATTTGGAATACAGGAGTGATGGGTGGTAGCAGCAGGAGTTGGGGATAGGGTGGTAGACAAGGAAGGCCCTGATCTGAGTATGGGAGGCTCTGGGAGCCAGATATGTTTGTGGCAAGTAGCAATAATGATAAAGCCCAACTGGGAAGAAGGGGAGGAAGGTAAAGGAACTTAGCAGGGGGGAAGCAATGGTGAGGACTCTTTGGGGAACATAACTATTTAAGGGGCAGCTGGAAGGGATAGCAAGTGCTGGTGGCACCTTAGCCAGGAAGGAGGATGCAGCAAGCTGGACAGGAGTGATTGAAAACAAATGGGGTCTCTGTGAAGGGCAAGAATCAGACCAGGCCTTTGTGAGCACCTTGGAAGCCACTGGTGACTAGCAGGTAGGGAGAGAAGGGGAGAGACATTATAACCAGGTGTCTGTAGGCCCAGCATTGTGCTTTGCCCTAGATTCAATACCAGTCATCCAGCTGAGAAGCCCTGGGGTACTTGGAGTTTGGTTGTAAGGGGAGTGAGCCCCTGTACCTCTGTTAATCAGGGCACTGTGGGTGACATATCACCTCCTTTGGCCCACTGGAGCCTATTCTGGGAAAGTCCTGGAGCTTAAAGGTGTTCTGTGGGTTCCTAGAAGAGGCAGGCTCTCCCAAGGTAACTTCTTCCAGGCTTCCCCCTCTGCTTGCTTGTGCCCTGGGGAACCCCTCTGTGGGATCTGTGCTGCTGTTGTTAGTGGGTCTCTTGGGTGTTTTATGGCCTCAGTCCCTGGTGCTGAAGGAAATGGTGCTCAGAAGTGGGACCCCAGAACTCAGAGCTGCTCTCCAGATCCCATTGATGGACTGGACTCGGAACAGTCATATCATTCCCTAACTGGAAGAATTCCTTCTGCTGAGCAACCCAGGCTGTGCAGCTCTGTGGTTCCAGCAGCAGCTGTGTGGTTCCAGCCGTGACAGTAGAATCATCAGACCTGCTTTGAGGATTTGAGGCTGGAGGAACTGAGATTGGAACTGCTACCTTGGGTCAGAGCTCCTTTTTTTGTCCACACTTGCAAGGAATGAGCCTATTTGATAAGGATTGAGAAGAGTCTGGGTTTCCATGGTTTGAATGTGAGCCAGCCCAGAAGGGACAAGATGAAAATGGCAGTGGGTCTTTGGGGCCAGAGGAAACAGAATTGGTTCAGTTGTTTGAGACATTTCCTTTTAAAATATATTAATTTTATTTTATGTGTATGAGTGTATTGCCTGCATGTATGTAAATGCATCCATGTCCTACAGTGCCTGCAGAGGTCAGAAGAGGGCGTTAGAGCCCCTGAAACTGGAGTTAACAGGTGGTTTCCATGTGAGTGCTAGGAGCCAAATGCAAGAGCATCAGGTGCCCTTAACTGCTGAGCCATCTTCGTAGCCCCAACTTGCTTTTGTTTTTGTTTTTTGTGGTTTTTTTTTTGAGACAGGGTCTCCCTATAGCCCCGGCTGGCTTGGATCTGCCATGTAGACCAGGCTGGCCTTGAACTCCCGGAGATCTGCCTGCCTCTGCCTCCTGAGTGCTGGGATTTAAAGACGTGCACCACCATGCCTGGCATTTTTTTCTTTTTAAGACGGTTTTTCTTTAAAAAATATTTTATTATTTTTTATTTTATGTGTATGAGTGTAATGCCTGCATGTAGGTCGGTGCACCCTGTTGTGCAATGCCCATAGAGGTGAGAAGAGGGTGTCGGATTCCCTGGAACTGGAGTTACAGACGGTTGTCAGCTGCCATGTGGGTGCTGGGAATTGAACCCAAATCCTCTGTAAGAGCAGCCAGTGCTCTTAACTGCTTAGCCATCTCTGTAGCCGCTAAAGAGACAGTTTTGCTATGCAACCTGGCTGGCCTGGGTCCCAGAGATCTGCCTATCTTAGGCTCCCAAGTGCTTGGATTAAAGGCGTGTGCCACCACACCCTATGAGACAGGAATTTTTTTCTTTCCTTTTTTTTTTTTCTCTAGGGCTGAGGACTGAACCCAGGGCCTTGCGCCCGCCAGCACCACTGTGCTAAATCCCCAACCCCAGTTTTTTCTTTTTTTAACTGGTCTGGAGTGCCACAAGTAGGCTAGGCTGGCCAACTAGTGAGTCCTGGGATCTTCCTGTCTGTCTCCCCAGTGCTGGGATTAGAAACACACACTGCCACACCTGGGTTCTGGAGATCAAACTTAAGGTAAGCACTTTATGACAGCCATCTCCCAGCCATTTTTTTCCTTTTTGAGATAAGGTCTTATTATATAGCCCAGGTTGGCCTTGAACTCCTGATGCTCTTAGCCTCTCAAGTGCTGAATTACAAATGTGTGCCACCATACTTGACTTGTTTTGAATCCTTTACAGTGAAAATGAGTGTCTATATTACTGATACAAGCTCATAAATTTACAAAGGATTTCCCCACTAGGATAGGAGGAGGTAGGGCTACTCTGGGCTTAGATAGTGATACCCAGGGCACAAGTAACAGCAAGATGGATTTGAAGTGGTGCCTTGGCTCTGGAGTCCACTTTTAAGTTGCTGGTTCTGCCTGTGTGCATTCACCATTCTCAGTGATAATGGTGATTCTCTTAGACCGCCATTCCCTCCACACCTCCTCCTTTGGAAAGCAGGCCAGGGTGTGTTGGGGTGTCAGCCCTGGTCTCTGGACTCATTTCCTATCTTGTGTTAATAGAGCACATCTGGTGGCAGCTCCTACTCCTTCCATGTGGGCTGTAGCACTTAATGATTATTTGGTGTGGTTCTGTTCAAGGACCACACCTTTACTCCTGGAGTTCCTGAAAATTCCATCAAGGTTCACATGGATGAGGTCAGAGGTCCTTTTCTTTATGTTGTAGGATTATTTTCAGGTCTTTGAGTCAGCTCTGCCTGATGTGGGGTGATATCTCATTAGGCAGGATCTGTCATTCCTGCAGGGTCAGGCTGGCTGAGTCTCAGACTTTCTGACTCTGGCTTGGGCTTGATGAGATGCAGGTCTACTATGTGTTAACTTAGTCCTTTACTAGAGACTAACCCTTTTGATAAAAAAACAAAATACAGAAATCCCAGATCCTGAATGGAGGCTTTGGGGAGGTGGGGTGATGGCCTGGTCCTCAGGGACACCTGTGTGCAGATGTGGTTGGGGGCATTTCCATGGAGCTCCAATATGCAGTGGTATGGCCACGATGAGAAGTGTTGGACTTGTGAATGCTTCTACTTAGACTAGAAGTGGTTTTCAAGACGGTTCTCATCATCCATGGGGTTTGAGGAACCCCAGCCTTTTCCTGGAGCTCAGTTGGGTGGGCATTAGTAGACACAGGGGCTTCCACGGGGGCGGGGGGCTGCTTTTGAGCACACAGGAGTCTATTTGTCCCCACTCCGTCCTGACATGGTTTTTTCTACTGTGGGGTTCCCCTTGCTCTCCATCTCCCCTTCTTAGCTCACTGAGTGCCCTCTTCCCTGGATCTAGGTTAGCAAATGCCTCCTACCCCTGTCCACAATACTGCCTCTGTCCTCCTGTCCAATATCACCTGTCAAGTGATGTTGCTCCTTCCCCTTGTGTGTCTCTCATTATGTCTCCTTCCTTCACTTGTTTCCTTGAGGGTTTGAAGGAATGCTGACAGTAATTTGAGATGGAGTGAGATGTGATGGGGAGAAAGCGTCTGCCTCCTTGCAGCTGTCTTTCTCAGGGGCCCATCCATCCGGGCAGCTGGTCAGCCCTGGACCACTCTGCCATGTAAGGCCCCCATCTCACAATGCCCTGTAGACAGACATGCCTCACTTCTAGCCAGCTGCATTTTGTGTGTATTCACCATTCAGCAAGCATTTAAGGGCTGGCATCACACCAAGCACTATTTTAGTGGGTTGCAATGAGAAAACAAATCATTGTGAAGTCCAGTCACTTGCATTCCTGAGAGTTGTCTCTATGCCTTCTCCCCAGCAGACTACTAAGTGTCACAAAAGTGGCCACTGCTGTCCCTGGGGAGACTGGCTTGGCTCCTCTTTACCTACCAAGTAGTGGTCAGGCACTCCCCTTACCCTGAGCTAGCCTGCTCAGGGTAAGGTCCTAGGGGGAACAGTACTCTCATAGTTGCAGGGAGCCAGTAGGGAGGAGGGTCAAAGGGTGGGACCTTGGTCCTCTTATGCTGCCTGGATGAGGACTGGTTCACAGTGGCCGTGAGAGCAGAAGCAACCTGTTCCAAATGGTCTTCTCTATAAAATATGCTACAAGTTTGGTGCTATAATGAAGTAGGAGTGGAGAATTAGGTGGCCAACATCTACTTCCTTTTGCCTTTCAGCTGCTCCATTTTGCCAGGAAGCTTCTGGGGCAGTGGATGTTCGACAAGCTGATGAAGATGACCTTTTATGGGCATTTTGTGGCAGGCGAGGACCAGGAATCCATCTGGCCTCTGATCCGGCACAACAAAACCTTTGGTGTTGGCTCTATCCTAGACTACGGAATGGAGGAAGACCTGAGCCCTGAGGAGGCAGAGCACAAAGAGATGGAGTAAGGGCTGCCTTTCCAGTGCTGCAAGGCACTGCTGTAGCCCCAGAGTGCACCAGGCTGCTGGACTTCCACCTCATCTAGGTGGTGGCCAAGGCTGGAAGGGCCTTTGACCTGTTTCCCAGAGCCCTCATGGGTTGTACTTGAGTTCTTGCTTCCTGAAGATGAAAGCTCTGGGCTTTTGTTGAAAGCCAGAGGAGGGGGGAGGGACAGATAGGCAAACTATGGTCCTTGGCCCTATCCAGTATACCACCTAGTCTGAACTGTTTGCAGGCTAATTGTATTTTTGCATTTTTGAGTGGTTGAAAATAGCAAAACAAGGACTATGCTTTGTGACATGAAAACTCCAGGCACACGCCTTAATCCCAGCACTGTGGAGGCAGAGGCAGGCCTTGACCAGGCCTTTGTGAGATCAAAGCTGGCCTGATCTACATAGGGAGTTACAGGCTAACTGGGGCTACAGGGAGACCCTGTCTCAAAAAAAGGAAAACCTTATGAAATTCAAATTGCTTTTGCCCTAAAGGGCAGAATGGTATAAATGGGTGGCCTCTAAGGCTGAGAATTTGTGCTACTTGGTCCTTAACACAAACATTTGTGGGGCCTAGTGGGGCCTTGGTTTCCTGCTCTGCTACTTTCTTTCTTCCTATGGATTCCTGACTGACTGACTGACTGGGTTGCTACCCTACCCACATCTACAAGTTTCAACTGATCCTCAAATAGATTCCCAATCTTCATGTGGCTATGCTTGCAGGATATGGAGCCTTGCAGGTGGGATCCAGCTAGGCATCCAGGGTCAGAATTGCAAATGAGCAGCAGTGTAGTGTGACTGGCAGCCTGGAGTCTCCTGCTGGCATCAGCTTGCTGCAAGGCCCATCCCTGGGCAGTGAGTGGAGAGTACAGAGCTCACTGACCTGCCCTCTTGGGCAACAGAACAGAATGTCCTTAATTCTGCTCCCTGCGTAGTGACTGACTCTGGAGGCCTGTGCAAGATAAGCTCTTTCTTTGCAAAGTGCTGCTGCCAGTAATCCTCCTAGCCAGGCGTTTCTTGGATTTTGGGGCCCATGATTCTGACTGCAGCTGTTCAACTGATGTCTGTCAGGCCTCTGATTTTGCCCTGCCCCTCCCCAGGTGGCTCTAGGGAGGGGGTGGGGAAAGGCAGTCATGTGAAGCCTCTGGCCCTGAGAACAAAATGTCCAGGCCTGGTCTCAGCATGCCAAACCCCAGCTCATTGGTTTAGGGTGCCCAGCCCCTTCCTTGTGATTGGCTGTTTTGAAGGCGGGGTACTCCAGCCCCAGCACCCCCTGTGAACCTCACTGTTGCCTGGAGACTTAGCTGCAGGCTTTACTGAGGCTTTGGGTTGAATAACCAATGGACTCCATAGCTTCAGCCTAGACTGGGAGAGCACTGAGTGCTTTTACCTGGGAGTCTCTTGAGGCGCTCTGGGGAAGGTGGGCCTGCCTGCTTTGCCTGCCCTCAGGAGCTGCCTCTCTTGTCCTGCAAAGGCTGTGGCTGTCTCTGTTGGCTTCTCTGCTTGTCATATAGGAACTCTGCTTGGGCTCTGGGACATAAGAAGTCCCCTCCTGACCTAACGGAATGACAGCCCTCCAATACCAGCAACAGGTAGTGAGGATGCACACTCAACTCTATTGCTGGTGCTCTGCCTTTAAGGGGTGGAGGCTGTAGGCAGAACAGAATTTGCAAGAGCTGCTGCAATATCCACCCCACCTCATAGCTTGCAGGGCCCACTGGCTATGCCTGGCCAGGAATGACCAGTCCCATGGACCCATGTGATGAGCTACTTGAGGGTCCCTTGGGGGATTCTCAAAGTCTGAGGCCTGTCCCCAGTTAGTGGAAGAAGGCAGAGGAAGCACGGAAGCCAGGCTTGGCAACTGTGGACTGTGGGTTTATAGAACCTGACCATTCCATCAGGGGTCACGCAGGCCTCCAGTCTCATTCCTTGATAGGAGATTTTCTGCTCAGGGAAGCACCCTGCCTGCTTCCCCTGCCTTAGCATTGTTATTCCTCAGGAGGAATTTTGTCTGATTGTACTTGAGACTGCTCTTGAAGAGCCGTCAGGGAGCTTGGCTCCCAGTCCCTGTTGGGAGGTGGTATGTGGAGACTACCTGCCTCCTTGTTATAGACTCAGAACATTGTCATAGGGTGACATTTCACCCTCTTCTCTTCTATTACATCTTGTCAGTGTGAACTGGCTGGAGCAGTAGCTGCCTATCTAGCTTTGTCCCTTGGGCTGCAACCTTGTGGGCTGTGGTACACATGAGGAGCCCCAGGCACTTAAGGGCCTGGCCCCACCATGGTTTCTGACTCAAAGTCTCCAGATAAGACTGGCACAGGGGTGAAGGACCCAGGGGGAGACTTCCTGGCAGATGGCTCAGTGACCCAGATTTGCTCCAGAGTAGTGAGGCTGAAAGCTGCCCAATTAGATGCTCCTTGATGGTGAGACCTGGAAGATGCAGTTAACTATCATCTGCCACTGCTTTTTGCCCTGAGGGATGGGAGGGAAGAATCATCATCCTTTCCTTCAAAGGCCAGCATACTGGCCTCGGTGTCCTGTCCTAATGAGGATGTGGATGTCTCTGAGTATGATGGGAACTTGGGAAGTTTTCAGCTAGGGCATGTGGAGACCCCATTAGTGTCTTCTAAGGAAATTTCTGGTTGCTATTCAGAAAATAAACCTAAGAGTCTTAGCCGGGGCTGGGCCCTAAGGTGGAGTTAGCCAGGGCTGTGTGGGGCCTCATTCTCAGAGGAACCTAGAAACCCTAGGTGTGGGAGCAGAGGCCAGACCAGATCAAGGGGGCATTGATGCTAGATTGGAGGAACCTTGGGTACAGGGTGGCTTCTGCCCTTGTTCCTTTCTATCCTACTTGGCTCTGTCCCATGTTTTTGAGGAAGGCAATACCTTCCTCATAGCTTATAAAGAATGAAATGCATGCCCTGGGCTGATCTGAATAGGTCAGAACATGGCTTTGCCTGGCCTCCTCAGAAAGGAGGGCTCTACTCACAGGAAGCCTGAGGATTGTAAGGACATGGGTTGGAGGGCTCCAGAAGCTGCCAACCCTCCCTGGCCCAGGTGGTCATGCCAGGCCTCAGGAGGGGCCAGGTCTGCCTGGCCAACTCAAGTTGGCCTGTCTTGGAGCCAGCTCTCTGTCAGGTTCGTGGTCAGGTCCAAGGCTCAGGTTCTGCTGCTTTCTGGCTTCCTCCTGGTCAACTGCAGTTCATGTGGTGTGACTGACGTTTGCCTTCTCCTCCTTCCTGCAGGTCATGCACCTCTGAAGCAGAGAGGGATGGCAGTGGTGAGTTTAGGAACCGATGCTCTCCTCACCCTCATGCACAGCCTGGTGGCCCAGGAGACACCTGGGTTCAGGACCTCTGCTAGCCTTGGGGCAAAGGACAACCCAGAGGCTGCTTCCCATGCCTGGGCCTGGCTCTGTGTACCTCTCATACCTGAGAATACCCAGCAAGTTACAGGCTCCCCATATTTCTCACAGCTTTCCCAAACAGTCTCAGCCTCCTAGGCCCTTAGCAAGTCACAGTCTAGGCCTTTGTGATGGAGGCTCTGTCTCTCTAGCCTGGTTTGTCCCTTGATGAGGCTTAGCCAGAGGGATATGCACCCCAAGTGGAAGGGACAGCAAGGGGAGTGGTCTATGGCTATTAGAGAGGAGGGAAGCTGCAGGGTTCTCACCAAAGCCTATTTGAAGCCCATCTTGCGGCGGGGGGTTTCTGGGATGTTGGCCTATGTATTCTGGGATGAGTTGGGGATTAGAGCTGAAGCTCTGGGCAGAGCTGGCATCTGTACTCAGGCCATGTATCTATCTACCTTCCCAGGCACAAATAAAAGGGAGAAGCAATATCAGGTTCACCCAGCCTTTGGAGACCGCAGAGATGGTGTCATCAGTGCCCGTACCTATTTCTATGCCAATGAAGCCAAATGTGACAACTACATGGAGACCTTACTGCGCTGCATCCAGGCTTCAGGTACCCTCCCTGCCCCCCACTTTGCTGGCTGCCTGGGTGGAGCTCTGGGCAGGTGGAGAAGGCTGAGGCTGGAATAAAGGGCTGGTCTAGGCCCCTCCAGGACTGTTCTGCATCCAGGTCCTTCCTACGGGTCCTGGAAGCTCCTGGAAGACACCTTCTGCTCTGCCATGTTCCTACACATGGTGCCAGATGAGTTCTATTACAGCCTGTGGAGGACTGGGGGCAGAGGGAGGCCAGTTAAGCTGTGAAGTCACTGAGCCCCAGGGTCCCAGCAGTCCTGCCAGTGTGGGAGTGGGTTCTACACTTTCTGAAGGTTCTTATATTCCTGGGGGAGCAGCTACTTCATGGGCCAGGGTGGCTTGAGCAGTCAGGCCAGTGCTCTGGTATTTTGGTGAGGGACATCTACTTGTCTTCTGCCTTCTCACCCTGGGAGAAAATAAGGGTTGTGTTGTGTGCCCCAGTCTCTGCCCTACTTGGCATTTCTGTGTTCTGTGGCTTTAACATGAACAGCCTGAGAAGAAACTACAGCAGGAAGACTCTCAGGGCTGCCTAGCAATGTGCAGGTCTGTCTTTTTTGCCTACATAAAACACTGGTTTATCAGTCCCCCCGACTCTGGCAGGGGCTCTGGCACAGCCATCTACAAGGGCATTCAGGGGACTGGGTAGTACTGATTAGGCTTTTGGAAGGAAGCCAAAAGGTGCACCTGGTCCTCCTTCTCTGACTTAGGTGTCCATCACATCTGGAACACTCATGGCTCTTCCTTTGGCTTCTGACAGGTGGAGCCAGTGACGCTGGCTTCGCAGCCATTAAGCTCACTGCACTGGGGAGACCGCAGTTTCTGGTAAGTGGTAGTGTGTTTGGGCTGCAGAGCCTTTGTAGATCTTGGGACAGCGGTGGGCATTGAAAGACTGACGATATGCCTGGACCCTTGGCTGTGGTCTCAGGCTTCAGAGGGAGACTTGGGGGTTGGATGGGGGAGCTGGGCACATGCTGCAGTAGGATTCAAACCTGTACTGGCAGCTGCAGTTCTCAGACGTGCTGACCAGGTGGAGACGGTTCTTTCATCAAATGGCTGCAGAGCAGGGGCAGGCTGGACGTGCTGCTGTGGACACAAAGCTAGAGGTGGTGGTACTGCAGGTGAGCAGCCCTTTCCCTCCCTCACATGGGTATGAGGGGCAGGCACAACACCGTGGTCCAAGGTGGAGTCTTAGAGCTGTTCAGGATGTATGTAGCTCACTCTGCAGCTGCTGGGGCAGCAAGGAAGAGGAGGGAGGAACAGTAACTGTGGTGGGAACTGTAGATGGCTTCACTGTCTACAAAGAGTATGTTTGGGAGGGTGGCCCTGTAGGTAGCTGATACAGATGGAAAAGACTGTAGCCAGCTAGGAATAGAAACGGGTCTCAAATGAATCCCGTGCTCACAGATGATGGGATAAAGTCAAATAACACCACAGACTTATGGTGGAGTGTTATCAGATGAGGCTGGGAAGTGTCAGTGCTGACTCTGCCTTCTCACTCTCAAGGAAAGCATCGCGAAGATGGGCATCGCATCCAAGGCTGAGATTGAGCAGTGGTTTACTCTGGAGACATTGGGAGGGTCTGGGTAAGAGCTGACATCCATCTTGGAGTAGTCATGGTTTTAGCTGAGCCCCAGTGGTTTCTAGCCTTGGTCACCTCCCTGGTGAGGGTGGCCCAGGGGAGTGGCAGTGCCATAGAAATCGCTCCCTGAGATTTACTGAACAGGAGTTGACAGGGAGCTTGGGGGTCCCTGGTGCTGGGGCAGAATGAACACAGGACTTCTTAGAAACTAACCTAGGTCCAGAGCAAAAATTCTCTGCATAGCCCTTCTTGAAAGTCACTCTGGCGAGTGAAAGAACACAGATCCATTCCCCATTGTCAGGGCCAGGGGATGGAACTGAGATCACAGGAGCCCCCAGTCCGATCAGGAAGCTGACTTAAGGTGGAGCTATCAGCTCTCAGGTGGACCTTGGCCAGCCCTGCACACTGGCTTCTTTCCAGCCCTCTGAAGTGGCATCTATCTCCTGCCTAACCTCCCCATTTTGGCTCTTCTGTAAGCCTGGCCTGGCCTTGGCATTCTTTGTGGATACATTGTTTGTACTGCTACCAACCCACTGCAAAAATTGTCTTACTTTGGTTTCAGTTTTTTAAATATACCTAGTTTTTAAAAAGTCAAACAGGTAGGTTTTGTGGTGGCTGGGCTTGGGAGTACTCTTCTGAGGGAATTGGCCTGTGTGGGTCTAGGATCCCCCAAATAATCCTAGTACCTATAGGTAAAGTTGAGTGACTGGACCCAGAAACTACTGGCCTTCTGCTCTGATGATGTGCCTCATCCCTCAGAACTGTGGACCTTCTGGACTGGAACAGCCTCATTGATAGCAGGACCCAGCTCTCCAGGCACCTGGTGGTCCCCAATGTACAGGTAACACCAACCCTCACCCCATGTGTCCCCTCAGTGTGACTAAGATGCCATCCTTTCTGGCCCCACCTCAAAGAAGACAAACCCAGTATCCACAGAGTACCCAGTGGGACAGTGACCCACGTGGACCCTTGCACATAAGATGTCTGGGGAAAAAGATCTTCCCCAACTCACCTACCCTTGTGTGTCAGGTCACCCCAAATCTTTGTGGCTAGATGTGGCCCCTCTCATGGTTCTGGGTTGACAGGGTTCAGCTGGGTAGTTCTGAGGTCTCCTGGACTTTTGTGCTTAGAGGGTGGCAGGGCCAGGTGGTTGTGGAGGGTTCCCCCCTCAGACGTCAGGAAGCTAATGATGGCTGTCAGCTGGGCTTTCTCCAAAAAAACATGGTGGCTGGTTTCCCAGGGTGAGTGTCCCAAGATGATGGCCAGGCAAAAACTGCGTTATCTTTTGTACCTGGCTTTAGAAGTCAGGCCAAGTTAAGTCTGACAAAGTGAATTGCTAGTCTGGCCTGTGTTCAGGGGCAGAGGAGAGAGGCTGTGTGGAACCCCACTCTCTATGAGGGAGGAGCAGAAGCAGCCGCTCGGGAGAGCATCCTGCAGATGTTTCTTCCGTGATACTCTAGTCCCTGAAGACTGAGAGCCCACCCCAAGCTTTGAGCCACAGTCTGGACCCTAGAGGATTGAATATTCAGTGTAGCTCTGCTCCAAGGTCACTGACCATTAGAGACTAATGGTTTGTGCTCAGTGAAGCAGGCTGCTGGGATCTGAGAAAGGGTGTCTCATTAGCATTCCAGGAGCTCCTGTGCCATGGTGGCGGTGGTGGGTGAATGAGAGGCTCCTGTGCTTTGTGGGCCCTCTGGGTGCATTCTCATAACTCCAGTCACCAGTCCACTACTGACCTGTCTGGCTTCTCAAAGGTGACCGTCTTGGTCCCCTGCTGTGAGTCGGCTATTCCCCGCCCCCAGTCATGGTTCTTCCTCTGGAGCCTTTTTCAATTCCAAGTGGAACCTTCTGGTCAATTAGGGAGTCAGGGTTCACTTTTTTTGACTCATAGAAGGGCAGTGGGGTTCCCCACTGTGGTAGGGCCCTCTAAGGGTGAGAAGGCCATATAAGCAAACCTGTTGGGGTTCAGCCCTGAACTTGGTGTCATCAGCATGGGCATAGCACCTCCTCGTGTGTAGGACAGTGAGCTGGCCAGCCCTGAGTTCAGGGCATTTTCTTCCTGTTTCTAAGTGGCCTAGGGCAAGATACTGAGAGGCAGCCTCTCTGGTCCATGAAGGGGTATGAGGGTGGGCAGAAGGCTGAAAGGTGTGACTGGGCTTAAGGTGGAGCACTGTGGTCCACAGTGCCTGACTTCTGCTGTATTCTCAGACAGGACAGCTGGAGCCTGTGCTGTCACGGTTCACTGAGGAAGAGGAGCAGCAGATGACAAGGATGCTGCAAAGGATGGATGTACTAGCCAAGGTTTGAACAGCCCTATGTGTGGGGAGTGGGCAGGACACTGGGGACCCCAATACCTAAGCAGAGGGGAACACTGTCTCCTTTGAGCCTCAGATTTTTTCCTTCCTATGTACCTCTCAGAAAGCTAGAGAGGTGGGTGTCCGGCTGATGATAGATGCTGAGCAGAGCTACTTCCAGCCCGCCATAAGTCGCTTGACCCTGGAAATGCAGCGCAGGTTCAATGTGGACAAGCCACTCATCTTTAACACGTTCCAGTGCTACCTCAAGGTATGGACAACTACCCCTGCCTTCCCATCTTCCTGCCTGTTTCCAGGGATGCAGTAGGCCCTCTGGCATGCAGTGTAACCCACCACCCTGAAGGGAAATGTCTTTCTATGGAGCTTGAAGCATCTGTCTTGCCCTACTTTGTGCAGAGGCTGGGAGCAGCAGGACAGGTAGAGGAGGAAGCAGGCTGCTAACCTATACTGAGCCCCAGTGTCTAAGAAATAGGCTCTGTATAGCAGGCATGCCTGGACTTGCAGGAGAGGCTGAGGCTGGCTGCAAAGGAGGAAACAAGGCTCCCAGGATCCTGTCCTCAGCCCTTCTTCTGGGCTCAGGACCTAGTCAAGAGTGTGTGGGTGGACTGGGGAGATGGCTTAATGGGAGAGGCACATGCCCTGCAAACCCAACAACCTGAGTTTGATTCTCAGATTGCCTGGAGAGAACCAACTCTCACAGTTCATCTTCTGAACCCCACATGTGGACCGTAGCATACATATATCTGCACTCATATACATCACACACATGCACATGGCAATTAAAAATAAAAAGTGGCGGGGAGGCACAGACAGGGAGCTCTTTCAGAGTCTGTCTGATGTCTTTGAAGCCTTCACAGATGACCGTTTCTTTCTGCCCATTATTTTTAGCACAGGACCCTCTTAAGCATCTGACAAAGGTCAGGTATAGTGGCACACGCTTTTAATCCCAACACTTGGGAGGCAGAGGCAGGCGGATCTCTGTGAGTTCAAGGCCAGCCTGGTCTACATAGTGAGTTCAGGTCAGCTGGGACTACAGGGAGACCCTGTTTAAAAAAGACTTCCCCCCCACAAAAAATATGACAAAACCTTTGGACTCCCCTGGAAGACTGACCCAGGGCTGGAGAGAGAGTTCTGGGAGCCCAGAGGAACCCCAAACCCAGCCCTTCAACCTGAGGTTGCTAAATTTCTGGGGGTCTGTACAAGTCTGTAGAGCATGCAGACACCTTTCATTAGGTACCCTGAGGACATGATGTGTATGGGGAGTGATTCCTGGCAGCTGACACTGCTTCTAGCTAGGCTCAGAGGGACACTTTTCATCAGGCACCATGAGGACATGGTATATATGGCACTCTGCTTCTAACTGGCCAAGGTGACTCTAAAGTACACAATGATGTCACGCACTTGAGTTGACCTCCCACAGAACTATCTCAGGCCACACAGAGGAGGGGCTGCAGATTGTCCCACTGTCCCACTTCCTTGATAAGAAGAGGTTAGAGGCCCAGCCCCACCTGTATATGTCTCCCAGATCTCTTGAGTGGCACATCCCTTAGCCTGCTGGCCTAGGTGCTCTAAGCTGATACACCTATGAACCAGGTAGTCTTTGCGCTGCCACCACTGGGCTCCCTTTGACTTTTGGGTTTGGCCCTGCAGGATGCCTATGACAATGTGACCATGGATGTGGAGCTGGCTTGCCGTGAAGGCTGGTGTTTTGGGGCCAAACTGGTACGTGGTGCATACATGGCCCAAGAGCGTGCCCGGGCGGTGGAGATTGGCTACGAGGACCCTGTGAACCTTACATATGAGGCCACCAATGCCATGTACCACAGGTGAGCTGGCCTTCCCTGCTTTCTTGGAGTGAGGTATGAGAACCCTGGGAGGCCCTGAGTGTGAGTGGCCCCATTCAGCTAGAAGCTAGTTTCCTGCGGGCAAAGGTGCTTGTTCTCCACTGTTGGATCAGTTTTTCAAAAACATTAAGACTTCCCTTATGGAGATGTCTACTATATAAAACTGGCTTCTATGCCCCCAGTTGGCTTCTGTTGCCAAAAAGTGTTTTGAAATGTCACTCACTTGGTAGAGTGCTTGTCTAACATGCCTAACGTCCTGGGTTTGAACCCCAGTACCACATAAACCAGGCATGGTGGTACAAATCTGTAATCCAACACTTGGGTGGAAGAGGCAGGAAGATCACAAGTGCAAAGTTATCCTCGGCTATATGGTAAGTTTGAAGCCAGTCTGGGATATATGAATCCTGGAAAGAGAAAGGTGGGAGAAGAGAGAGGGGAGAGGAGAGGGGAGGGGAGGGGAGGGGAGGGGAGAGGATGTTTATGTCTGGGACCTTTTGTGCAGTTGTTCTGTACAGTCTGGAGAATGATCTACCATAGCCATGCTTTTGGTTTTGGAATGAGCTTATTAAGCATACAGCAAGCAAAAGTAAAAGAATAAACAGCAAACAGCAGATAGCAAAATGTCATTGAATCAGGTGCTCACAGTATTGAGCAGAAACAACCAGAGTAGCCCAACTGAGAAAGCAAACAAAAAGTGACATCAAAGTGGGCCTTACAAACATCCAGCAGAAATGGACTGGGGAAGCCCCCATAAAACAGCTAGCTGGAGGGCATGGAGAGGTGGCTCAGCAGTTAAGAGCACTTGGTACTCTTGCAGAGAACCCAGGTTCAGTTCCCAGCATCCACATGGCAGCACACAATGCCTGTGACTTCAGTTCTAGGGGATCCAACACTGCCTTCTGGCCTCCACAGCACTGCATGCATGTGGTGTACTTTACATACATGCAGGCATGCATTTATTATATACGTGAGTGCTCCCAGTCATCCAGCAGAAATGACTAGGGAAGCCCTCCTGAAACAGTCATGCTAGAGAGCAGGGAATTCTCTGCATGGATGAGCTCTTGCCTTTCCCACAAGCATTTCTATATTATGGGATAAACAACAGTAACCTCTGTTGGAAATGTTTTACCTTCTAGCTGTTCTTAAGGACACAATGTCTTTAATACCCTTAGTCACTGTCTCCCCATTTCAGAGCCAAGGGGCTAACCTGAGCCAGGACAGGGGATTTTAGAGGACTCTGACATAAATGTGCTTGGGTCTGAAGGAGGGGGTCGGGGGAACAACCCCACTTCCACAGCCGGTTTCTCAGTGAGCTCAAACAGCACATGACAGTGTACCAATATAATGTACATCCCAACAGTACAAGCAGTCCAGCTTCATGCTTTTTCTCCCTAGGCTGTGCCTGCCTGTTGCACATTTGAGACTGTCTTCTCAAAGGGAGCTCCAGCTTCCTTCCTGCTGCACTGGTTTCCAGACACCCACTGCCCATCCAGGCGGTGCTATGTGCATCTGTCCCATCAATGTTTACACTGTACACTTGGTCTTCTGCCCCTTGCTTCTTCATTTAATGCTCCATTTCCTGTGTCAGCACAGAGGGCAGCACTGCTAGTTGTCAGTACTGGGTGCCCAAGGTTATGTGTCTGGGCTGAATGGTCTTTTGGTTATTTTAACAGGGACTCACTGAACATCCTGTCCCCCTCTACTGTATGCATGGGCAGCCAGAGGTTCTGCACCTAAGGGCACAGCTGGTGCATGTTCCTAAAAATTGAATTGCTGGGTCAGAGAGCATGTGTGCTGTCCAGCCTGATGGTGTCCTTGGTGCCTAGTGACAACAGCATTGAGACTGGTGCTCAGGAATGCCCATTCCATTCCACTTGAAGCCCCCAGGGTTTGACTTCCTTTTATTTCTTAAAGGGCCAGGAGTGTGCTGTAGGACCCCTTCCTGTAAGCAAAGCTGTTGTTTGAGGCAGGCCTCCACCAGGCCAAGTAGACAGCATGTGTCTTTTTTTTTTTTTTTTTTTTTTTTGGACACAGGTCTTGTTTAAAAAAAACGCCTTCTTTTGCTGTGCCCATATGATGCTCACTAGATCTGGCCATGACAACACACCCCCCA